CTGGTCACAAGCACGATTTCTATGACGATTTATCCAAGAAAAAGGTTAATAAACTTCAAATTTCCTCACGTCTGTTTTTATCCTGCAAAGTCACTTCCAAATCTAACCAATGACGTCATGGAGCCTGCAATCTTCAGCGGCTGTGCTTCAAAGCTCCCATGATTCTTTGCAGTAAAAGACTAGACCCATTCTCCTTGAGCAGGAAGATGGCGGAAAGTTGAATCCTAAAATGGGGATTTTGAAGTTTATAAGCTGCAGTAGTCCGCTTAGCGTAAGCGCAAGACGATTTTTAGCACAAAGGCGAAGCTACACTCAGGTATGATCTTCCAATCCAGCATGTATTACTTTACAATCTTACTTTGGGAGCTGGTCGGGATCGTGGTGCGCGAGAGGTCTTTGCACTTCGCAAGCTACATTAAGCTTATGTAGCTATCGATTTGTTAGTTTTTTTTGGTGTTACATTGGTTAAACTTTGTCCACTAGTAAACTTATGATACAGTCACGGATTTTTGACATGCACTGGGTATATTACTAGTCATTATAATTGATGAAATCTGAAAACAAAGGAATGGTCTAAACGAGGCCTAAAGGGCATTGCAGCACAGGTAGCCCAAGCACTGGACTTGGCAGTGAAGAACGAAAAGTTCGATAAAAGTGGTAAAACTGAATAAAATTATTTCAAACTACAGCATAGTGTTCTTCTTATTTTTCTCAACGCCCCTGTGAAGTTTCAGCTCATTATGGTAAACTTTCCCCTACTTATATATATTATGACAAGGTTGCAGGAGACAAACCGACGAAAAACACAATCGAAACGGCTTCAAATTCAAGCATTTATTTGCCAAAAAAACACTTGCCGTTCAAATTGACTGTCATCACACATTTGGTTATGCATAAATACATCTTAATTTTGATGTCTTAGAGGCCTTCCTGCTCTTGACTATGCACTAAAGCCGTTCAAACACGAAGATCGACTCTCCAAAAATCAGGAAAAAGGTTTCACTCTCCATACTGTGGTCAGCAAACGAAAGCCAAATGGACAACCCAGGCCCCTTGACGGTTGATTGTCCGTTTTACCACTTTTATCGAACTTTTCGTTCTTCACTGCCAAGTCCAGTGCTTGGGCTACCTGTGATTGCAGTAGTTAATAATAACGTCAAGCAATTAATATTCACTCCATCTGAATTCAGGGCAAATTGCTAAGAACATTTTTCAAATTCTAAGCTGCTTCCAATTTTGGCATGCATGAAGTGGCAGTTCTTTCAAAGCTTTCTGATTGGTTAACTTGTACAAAACTTTGCTTGAATTGCTACTGTATATTGTAATAAGGCAAGCCATGCTGTCGATAAAGTGTATCGAATATGAGAATATTGCATGGAGATACAGATTTTATCTTTAAATGTTGAAAAGATCTCTGACAAGYGAGTGATAATATACCTATGAAAGCAAATTATGTTTCAAAATAAAAGTTTTATTTACCTGGAATATATAGAGGTACCATGAATGTGATATTTTCAATAAAGAGAGAAATTCATAGATCATTATGATAAATAGCCTCCTTGACAGCTGATGTGATAACTGAGAGATGTAAATCCTCCACTTTCTCCTCTCTTCTTCAGTCTCCTCCACCTCTCACCAAAGGAATCCCAACCACTCGTAAAACTTCTTTATATTYTTCTATTGTTAGGCTGCCAAAATACAGAGAATATTTTCAGGAATTCAGCCAACAGGCGATGTTCATATAGGGAATTACCTTGGGGCAATAAAGAATTGGGTMAAACTACAATCAGAATGCAATGAAGAAGTCTTGTTTAGCATTGTTGATCTTCATTCCATTACTATTCMTCAAGACCCTAAAGTATTTCAACAAAGTACAAGGCTCATGGCTARCACCATGTTAGCTTGTGGTATTGACCCATCAAAGAGTATCATTTTCAAGCAATCTGAGGTAAAATAAGTTATTTTTTAA